AAGAAATGTAGTTGTGGGCAATTCCAACTTGAAGAACTTCCATTTGTAAATTGTTTCCAGATTGTAGTTATAATGTAGGTTAAATGTAGTTAATTTGTAGTTTTTGTAAAATTTTGTAGACAATTTGCAGATTAATTGTGGATAACACATTTCTACGATTGGAGTATTTATTTCTTATTTTTTGTTGTGTAATTTATATTCAACTGACAGTTATATACAAATATTACATAGAACTTGGAGGTAAACATCTAAAAATTACCTACAGTTTAAGTACCTAATATAAGAATAACTACAGTGAATGTACAAATTACCTACAGTTTAAGTACTTAATATAAGAATAACTACAATTTACCTACAGTTACAGGGCAAACAGGGAACATATCATCCACAATCATGTCTACATTATATCTACATTTTAGACTACAATTAATCGTGGAATGTTCTACATAAACTACAAACTAACTACAATTACACTACAAACAGTAAATCTATGTGAGAGCTTCAACAGATCATATCCATTACACTAAATCTACAATTACACTACAATTACACTATAATTACACTGCAATTACACTACAAAATACACGACAAACAGTAAATCTAGGTGAGGGCTTCAACGGTCAGTATTTCTAAGTCGTTTGGAGAAGTTGTCGGCAGCTTTTCATATTAGTCTCTTTACCAATAAATTTCTCATTTTTGACTTTTCCAGAAGAGGGAATTTTGTTTGGTACCCAAAAACAATTGTTGCAGAGGAAATTGGCACGACATTCAAATATAATGAGATTTTGCTGGCTAATGCATGCCAAGGACATCTTTCGTTGATTTATCTTGCAATCGTGGATGAAGAACAAGAAAGAATGTGGGGTATGGGTAAAAACGTGAGTGAAGGAGTGGGGGGTAAGGAGAGAGAAACGTGAGATATATGGATACCTTAGTAAAAACTGCCCATTAATTAGATATGGATACCTTTAATTAAGGAGTAAAAACAGCCCATTAATTAGACCCTTAATTAAGCATGGTATAGGATAGATAATTTGGTATACTAAGTGTAATTTACTCAAACCTTAAACATGTAGGATAAAAAAATTTCCTATGTGGTATAGGAATCAGGGTAAACCAGTCGGTTTAACCTAATTTTGCAGGAGTAGGGTTTGTTGTAGTTAGGTGCTGCGACAAAATCAGCTCAGAAATGGCCGAATCAACAAAGGTATCCGCGATGAAGAGGCAAATCCTTAAAGGAGGAGGAGAAGGATTTGAGCCACCGTCATCCTCGGAGAAGAAGCAAAAATTTGCAGAGGGAGGATCAGTGACACCGTTATACCCGGAGGATAATGAGAAATCAATATGTTTTTGCGATATAAGCGATGACAACGACGATGGCGAAAAGATACCAAATGAAGGAGGATGCTGCCTTTGCAATCCAACCAAACCTGATCCCGACTCCGATGAAGATTATCCTGAAGAGCTTCGCCCTTCCTTAGAACCAATTCTCTTGAAATACCACCATCAGGCTCTTCTAACCAATGTTTGCTTCCTTTCTCTTCTTCTCTCTCTCTCTTTTTTTCCTTTTTTAAATTTTAGGTCTAGCTTCATGTACATAAATTTATATTTGCCACTTGTTTCATGGCTTCATATTTTTATTTTTTGCATATTGCTAATTGTCAAGCCTTTGACTGGTCTTGATTCTAGAAGTCTGTTATTTCTATTCCATTTTACCCCTGATAATAGGTTTCTATTCTCCATGAAGATGATTTAGACGTAACTTTATATTTTTATTATGTTATTGGGGCTAACATTGTTAATCCTGTGACCTTTGAGCCTACTACTGAATCTGAGTTTGATGTTCTACCTTCCCCGTGCTCTAGCTTCTCAGTAGCAATCATTAATATTATGAGCCCTAGGTTTTTCTAGTAATAGCTCTTCGATCCCACTGTTTGGCCCCCTTTTCCTTTTCAACTAGTTGACTGTTCTGTTCCTTATGACAGTATTTTAGCATCATCTGTTTGGATTTACTTATTTTGTTTTGGATAGATTTGTCCAATTCCATTATTATCCCTCTTCTTTCTTCCAGTTTGGATGGGTTTCATCACTGTTGACTTGTTTGACAGGGTTTTGATTTTGCTGAGTATCCTGGTCCGGTTGCTCCAATATCACCAATTGTGAATCTTGATACCCACAAAGACTTTGGGGTAATGATGGAACTTGCTAACCTTGCTATCCAAGAATATAATGAGAAAGAGTGCAATGTATGTATTCCCCTATGCACTCCCTCGGCCCCAACTATACTTACTTCACTTTATTTTCTTCGTGTGGCATGGTTTCTTCTACAGGTGATATATGGTGTCTCTTCTTGCAGGTTTTCAAGTATAAGCTTTTGAAGATTGAGAAAGCAACTTATATGCTGGCCGCGTGGGAACAATATTTTATGACTGTTAAAGTCTTAAATCTCACTCTTGCTACTCCTATCGAAACGTTTCAAATCTATGGTGCTAAAAGAATCTTTAGTGCTGATATCAAAGAAGTCCTCCATTGTGGGCCAAAAAGAATGGTAAATGCCTAATGATGCTTAGTGCAATTTTGACAAATATCATTTCGTTGTTTTTATCTTGGTAATTAGATTTGTAGTAGTTCAATCGAGGTATTGGCATGTGGATAGGCTTTTTATTGGGATAACTATGTGCAGAACACTAATGATATGCTGGATTTTAAGAGTAGCCAAACAATATATGCTATTCCATGTGGTGTGTATTTTCTACCCAAAAGGTGGAAAATAACTTCCCTCAATTGCGAAAGAAAGTCATTTTTCTTTACAAATCTTATTTCATATTACTTGTACTAAAAAACATTGCATGAGATTTGTCAAGATAAGTCGGAAATTTCTTGTTGATATTTCATGTTTGATACTGTTTCTGGCCCTTGTCCAGATAGAAAGACAAAAATGATTAAATACGATAATCGAAAGTTCTTTTGATTCCCCTTTTCCTTATGTTCGTTTTGCATGAACTACCTTAAGTGGAAGCCCCAAAGTTATGTTACAGTAAATGATGGTTAAAATGTCGCTTCACATTGATAGAACACAGATGAAAAATTGTGTCTTACAAACTTTGAGTTTTGCATTAGGACTGATAATTTATGGAGTAGAAGAGGCTGGAGATGATAATCCTGGGCCTTCGTTTTCTGTGAGAAATGCACTTGCTTGATAACTAACTTTACCTTGGTTTGTTTCTCCGAACTAATTTACAGGAGCTAATTGCTGGTCCGTTTTCCATGCAGATTGGAAAGGACAGTCCTCCGGAACATATCGAGGCTTTTAAGGGGATACGTGCACAACTACGAAAATATTTCTAGAATTTGAATTTGACCGGGTACAACCTTTAGGATTGTCCTGGGAGGAAAGAAGACATTTGAAGTACAGCTAATTTAAATCTGGACTGCACTATTTAAGATTTCATCTATCGAACTTTTAAGCGCTTTTACTTTGATATGTGATCTGACCTCTTTGTTAATTGAAGTATCTGATAATATTATGCACATGATCTATACTTTCTAAATGTAATGCTGGTTGTGAAAGCATTAGTAGTGGATTTTCCCACTAGTTTAATCCCATTATAGAGCCACAGCATCAGCATTATCTGCATAATGTTGACAAGTACATGCCATGAAAGCATGCGTATAGTTTTTCCCATTTAGAGAGGCAATATCTCCTACTCCGAGCCTTACACAATGTCAAAGTTTAACTGACCAACGATGCATTTCAAAGACTTATTTCAAAATTCTGCTGTGATACAATTGCAGGAAACCAGACCCCACTATGTGGGACTTTACTGGGTATTGTTGTTGTTTATAGCAGAAGACGTGCTATATTCAATTAATAACTATTAAGAAAGAGTGTAGTCGAAAATATTTTCTGAGGGGGAACCCAAGGTAACACTAGAAAACATAGTATGGGCTCTAAGCCTCCAATAGCTAGTTTGGGTCCCAAGTCCAAATTCTCCAAACTATAGTATTTTTTAAGAAAGTAAGCTAAAAAAAACCACTTTCGAATTCTCAAATCATCAACACAAAGTAAAGGCCGGCCAGAAAACTGAAGAACTTCCCAGTGTAACACAAGAACATGTTATTGCAGCAGCAATCTCTGATCTGATCAGAAGACAAAAAAAGGATAACAGAAATTCCAATAATGAACTCAATCAACTATACACCAATCCCCAATTAGCTGGCATAGATTATATGAATCATCTATAACCACTCAGGAGAAGCCCAAAATTCAAACAACTCAAGACAATTAAAAAAAGTAGTTTCGTAAGTTTAACTGGAACCCGTTGAATTCACTTATGGCTAAATTCAAGAAAATAACAGCAGACATAAAGACGATCATCTTACATCAGGAAATCAAACGTATCATTGTGTGTGCGTGTGTCTGTGTGTGTGCATGTAGAGAGAAATTGGAAATGCGAATAAAAGAAAGGGGGAGAGTACTTGAAGAAGAAAGAACTGATGAGCTGCAAAATACAGATGCTGATTCTGAAGTAGGAAACCCAAAAAGATTGAGGAAAAAACATAATTAGGCAGTATTTAATATTTTTTTTTTATAAATATAGAAAGAATAAGTAATTATAAAACTGACAGCTAAATAACTACATTCCTAACAGAAACATGATCAACCCAATAAATTTTAACTAATGGACCTCTCAATCTTTTCCGTTTTCCGTTGATTACGTTAATGTGATACGTTACACATTTAGCTCATTTATAGGAAAGATTGCACCACCGTTAGACCACATTATTATTGTTCATTTCCTAATGCTTTTTTTCTTTTTTCTTTTTCTTTTTTCCATTTTGATTTACCCTCTTTAATTTATCTTTTCTTTTAATAAAGAAGAACAATGATTTTCAAGTATGGGAAGTTGTAAACATCATGGGAGATTTTCTTTATATATTTACTTTTATGTTGTTTTTATTCCTTTCCACTGCAACAAATATCGAGTATAATATATATATATATATATATATATATATATATATATATATATATATATATATATATATAATTATTTGGATATTCATAGTGAGATATGATGTATTTTTGGTATATATTTAATTTGATGATTCAGTCTACCGTATATTTATGGTATAAATAGCACATGTATGGAATATATATAGTTGAATCAATATTATTTATATAATATACCACTTGTATATTACTACTATTATATTATATACAACGTATAAGAGTATGTAGTTGAATAAATATTATTTATATAATATACCTTTTTTGAAATAAACAAAAAGTGATGTTATTTTCTTAAATATCCTTTGAAAATGCTCAGCCATGTAGTTTTCTCCATAAAAGGTTGGTTTGGTTTGTGAACAAATTATGCTGAAATTTTAATACGAGAATTATGCATTAGTAATATTTTGGTTCATTGAATTAAAAATAGATATACAAGATATAATATAAAATATCTGTTAAGATTTATACTAGATAAATTTGGATAAACTTTTTATTTTCAATTTTAACATTAACTTTAAATGACTTGGAGAAGAGTCCTGGAAAAGGGTAAATGTATCATTTTCTTGTTTAATCCATTGATTATTATTATCGCACATCAGATATTGTTGGGTTTTATTTTCTAAAGAGTGTGAATGAAAAATGGAAGAGGCAACTCTT